TCAAAAGGTTTGACAGGAGAAGGGTGGCTTTAGAGAAAGTAAAATATAAAGAGAGTGTATAACCCTTGGTGGAGCCAAATCTTAGCCTCTGTAGGTTTTCCTCTTTGAGATTGACTGCAATGTGGCCCAATGCCCAATTCTGCCAAAGATGGGTCTTTAGGCACCATGACTTCCAGTAAGCGATCTGTCTCCCCAGGCCACACCAGGGTCAAGGACATTAAGGTGCTGTTAATCTGTCATGGCCATTGTCCTATGCAGACCAGAAATAGTCCCACTGTGGTGCTCTGAACTGCCTTAATTGGGGGGGCTGGGGGAGTGGCAGGGCAGGGGGAACTAGCTTCTCTTGTTTCTAAAGAACAAAAATAATTTGTGGACAACCATCAAGGGTTCTGCTTTGAGCCAGGAAAATTTTCAATAAAAGCTGCCTCAAATCTGGTTATGTATTTCTCTAGAGGATCTTCTTGACCCCACAGACTCTTATCATTCTGAGCTTTCCAGAGATTTAGTTCAAAATTTTAAAAATTTTGCTGGAGCTTTGAATTTTTAAGAAAAATTTCCAAGCTTAATTTTGATGTAGATATTTATTTTCCCCATGGCTTTCAGAAGGCTTTGTACCATATGCCTGAAACAACATGTCTGGGTTTTTAGGAATTTATTTTATGAGCTGGGAGTGACTAAGGAATCTGCCTAAGGCCTGACAGCTATTTGGCTTCCTTAATACTCAGGACCTGTCACCTTGTTTTTGTTTTTAGATGACTGTACTGCCTGACTCAGAATTTTAAAACTCAGTTGCCTAAAAACTTCCAGAAGAAAGGGGAAGATAGATATAAAGAAAAGTTAAATTTTTCTAGGTGAATTAAGATATATATATGGAGAGAGATTTTTCAAAATTAAATTAAAAGGTGAAGTAAACACCTACATTCTCTCAGGCAACAGGTACCATCCATGAGCAGGAGGTAGTCACCTGGGCGTCAAAGGCAGGTAAACAGTGACCTGGACCCTAGTGATGCTGCTGGAAGTGCTGCTCACCCACCCCAGGCCGGCTCAGTGCTGTGTCATCAGCTATTAGCTCTTTTTCACCTCACTGCATTCTTCTCCTTCCTTCAACTCTTTACACGTTTTTTTGTCAATTAAAAAAAAAATGCCTGGCCCTGGTTTTTCATCCCATTTTTCTGTTTTCTTACACTGAGTGTGGTGAAACATGGTTATTTGACAATAATAATAATAATAATAATAATAATAATAATAATAATAATGATAGACTTGAAACTCCAGTATTGGAGTGAGCTGCCCTTAAAATTTCTTTCTTCCAGTAAGAAGGTCAACTTAGATTCAAGCAGAAATGTCAAGTTGTCTGTACTTTAAAGGCACATTTAAAGAAAGTAGGGCAGGAGAGAGAAGTGTTTTGCTGCAAACCTCTGCAAGGCCAATTCTTTTTCCTTTGGGCATGCCAAAGACTTACTGTTTCCCACACTATGGCGATCTGGGTTCCAGCCTTTCTCTGGGGTTTTGACTATTGAAAACTATCACTACTGTGTTTGTGGTTTAATTATCTGAAGCCACTTCCTGGAAAGGTCACAGTAAAGCAGCTGTTTTGCCAAAGTCCACAGGGAGAAACCATGAAGATTTTCTTGGCTGGAGAACCTGCGCGGGGGTTGAGGGTAGGTGGGGAGTGGCTGTTACTTGAAGAGGACAACGTTTTAGAATTTTGTTTTACTGGAACAGTGTCCTTGTTGAAACATCTCTACTTCTCCCCCTGACCAGATATGTGATTTTGAGAAGAGGGTTAGCATCCAACCTTGTATCGTCTGGAAAAAAAGGGATGGCACTAGATTTCTTGAAGATTCTTTCAGCTCTGGAGCTCTGTGAAGCTTCAGCTAGCAACTACCCCTGAATGGATGCAACCTGACTTTGTGGTGTAATAATTTTAAACATGGTTACAAACCTTCACATAATTCAAGGCTAAGCCTGAACCTGAGTCTTGGGTTGGGGGACGGGGTGCTTTCATTTGAGGGGAGGACTCACAGCTCCTTCTGCCTTTGAAGTGACTTTTTTAGAGTCAATCAACAGAAACTGTTGAGTATCAGAAAGAAGACCAATGAGAAAACAATACCTGACAGGGATTTTCCCAACATCTCCCACCTCCCCCCGAACCTGGGGTCCTTTTCATAAACTCTGGAAAATTAACATTTTGGGGTTAGGTTTGGCTGTGCATGACGGGAAGCCTGAACATATAAAAGAAGGTAGCTGGGAAGCAGGGGGCTAGGGGGGTGTGTGCATCTCCCTAAAGCCACCAAGGACTCATGCTCTTCTATTGTGGTCTCTCCCCTTTCAACAAGTGGTCTTCATCTTGTGGTCAAAGATGGTGGCTGCAATCCAGCCATCATAGCCACACAGAGCCAGCAGGAAGGAAGGCTGGTGGAGATGTTAAAATCTTTTGAAGAGACTTTTGAGTAGACTTCCTAGGAGGAGCATGCATTTCCACTTGCATTTCATTGGACCAAATTTTGTCATGTTCCTAGTGCAAGGGAAGGTGGGAAATGTAGTCATCTTGTGGGATGGTGATGTGCTCAGTTAAGAGTCAGGTGTCTATTGGGGAAGCAGGGAGACAGATACTGGAGAAGAAAACTAGCGGCATCTGTCACAGAAACTATATTTTTTAAGACTAGCGGCTTTGGAATCATTAGTTCTGGGCTTAAACTTCACACTTTGCTCGAAGCTATAACCTATTGGCCAAGCTACTTAACCACTTTAATCTCTTCTGTTACATCATCTGTAAAACTGGCATGATATTCATATCGTGGAGGTAAAATAAAACAGCAAATGCTCAGTGTTTAGCACAGTAGCTGCCCCTATTACACCAGTTCCTGTATCAACATCTTAGAGTTCTTTCATTTATTAGGATATATGGCATTTGTTATACCTGGTTTATCTAACTCCTACTTTTTCATATCCTTACTAGAGAACTAGTGAGTCTGGCTGAGACCAGTACAGTTGGGGATGTGCTAATCTAATGTGTGTCCAAAAGGGACAAAGCAACTTGGTCAATGTTGACTTGAACTTATGCTAACCAAGGCACCTGGTGAAGCTGAGGGTGGGATAGAGATAAAGTTACAGGAAACATTGGTGTTTCAGAAACATGTGAAGGATGGGACCATGCAGAAGCAGGAAGAGCTTAGGGAAGACAACCCTGGGGCAGACAGCCAGCTAAGGGAAAAATGTCTGGTCCTTCGTTGCTCACTCCGGCCCCTCATCACTGGAGGGGGAATTCAGACTGAAACTCTGAGCCCATGCCTTCCGATGGCTCCTGACTGATGAGGGAGGGTTCCTAGAGTACAAGAATCACTTCCTCAGTTTGCCAGCCATGCCCTGGCCAGGTAAGGGCCATCTGGGTTTACTGTGAGCCCAGATGATATATACCTGCCCAGCCAATGGCTGTGAGCCCAGACATTCAGAATGATATATATCTGTTGCAGGAACAGAGGACGAGTCAAACTTTTTCAAGGAAATGGGGGAAAGGTGACAGTAGGGATTTTTTCTTCTTTCTGGATTTACTCATCACTCCCAACTCTCTGGTATACTTTTAATCATAAATATCCCCTGGTACCTTCTGGGACTGGGCACCATGTAGGCCGTGAGGGCTGTGAATAAGACTAGGCCTGTGTGCTCAAGGCTGTCCTCACCCACGGGGAGCCAGATAAGAAACAGGTGTGGTAGATGGCATGATTGCTTCCATTTCTTTCCTCTCCTGGTGAAACTTTGCAGCTCCTCCCACTAGAGGTGGGAACATTTCCCTGCCCCACTGATGGCAGGTGTGGCCATGTGACTTGCTCTGGCCAATGGAATGTGGGCAGACAAGAGTGAGCTCTTTCTGTGCAAGGTCTTGAGTGCTTTTGCTCACAGTGCTTACGTTTTGTCATCACATGAGAAGATCATCTTCCAGGAAGTCACTGGTCCAGGGAGGATGAGAGACACTTGAAGCTTGGAGCCAAGCCTAACCCAGCCCACTTAGGTCAGCCCACTCCCTTCTGATCCACAGACCTGTGAGCGAGAACAAATGATTATTGTTTTATGCCATTAGTTTTGGGGTGGTTTGTTAGCAGTATCGTTGTGGCAATGGTTCGCTGATACAATAGGCTATTTCAATGTAGTGTGAGAGGGACTACAGGGATACACAGAGGCGGCTGATCATCTTGGGGAGGTTTGTGGGGAAGAATGCTTCATGAACTTGTGTATGCTATTCACTTTTTCTGACCTCTGTGATGCTCTAGACCAGAGAGCAGTCTATAGAATCCCTTAGCGCATGTCAGCATAGTGTATATAAAATAAGAGTTAATCCATAGGGACTTTAGGAAAAGATCTCTGACAAGTAAAATATGAAGATCGTTTGACTTCTATTCGTTAATTAATTAATTAATTAATTCATTCATTCATTCATTCAACAAATAAGAGTTAAGGACATAACTGTGAATAAAATAAAACAGGACCCTAGTGCACATGGAGCTGACATTCTAGAGAGAGGAGACATGGTACATGGTGAATGCCATAGAGAGAAACAGAGCAGAAATGAAGTACTGGGGCAGAAAGGTGGTGCAGTTTTACACAGGAAGGCCTGGGAAGACCTTCCTGTGTAAAACACCGAGAGTGATGTTTGAGCAAAGACTTGAAGGAGGAGAGGACCTGAAGAGTGGCCTTAGCTGAGGAAACTGCATCTCAGGCTGAGGGGCAGGGAGTGCTCAGGCACCCTGCAGGAGAGAGAGACACTTAGAATATGGAGCCCCTAGTCCAAGACAGTTTGTTAGTGCTCTGGGGATGTGATGTTAGGTGTATTTGGTGAATACAGATGTAGAACAACAAATCCCAAAATGTTGAGTTTTCTTGTTAAACAACCTAGGTAAAAAGGTTTCCATCTTCAGGTGAAACCTGCATGGGACCATATTCAAGGGGCTCTCTCTTTGGGTGTCTGTGGCCCCTGGTGACCCCTCTCTCTTCTCCCCTAGGCTACAGGGGACAAGACCTGAGATTTCCACTTCCTGTGTGCTCTGGAAGTTGCTGGGAACAATGTTCATCGTGTACCTGTTGATAATGGGTGTTTCTTCCTTCACCATTCAGCCTGAGGAACGCACAGGTCAGAAGTGACTCTTTCAGCTGGAAAGGGCTTGCCTGTGGCTTCTCTGGGGAAAACAGGTGTTTATCTAGGGAGGTTTTGTTGTTATCAAGAGACCAGGTGTGGTTCCCGAAGGGGAAAGGGGGTGTGGGGAGGGCAAAGTGGGTGAAGGGGCTCAAATGTATGGTGATGGAAGGAAACTAGACTTCTGGTGGCGAGCACAGACATCAAACTATAGTGTTGTACACCTGAAATTTATGTAATGTTATTAACTCTTGTTACCTCAATAAATACAATTTTAAAAAAGAAAGAGCATGAAACACAAATACGAAATCAAAGAATTAACAAAAAGCGAGTTGTGAATATTCACGTCTTGTTAAGTGACAAATGCCCCCTCTGGCCCATCCCCTGTGCTGCCCGGTCCTTGCTCTGGGCACCCGCCATTCTTGCCATAAGAGTGAACCAAAGAAGTGGTGTTTTACCCTTGATGAAAGGTGTCTTTGGATTTTAACTACAGGTCTGTCAACGAAGCATTTTTTTGGATCTGAACTTAGCTGAGATCTACTTTAATGATAAGGAGCCAAGTGAGAAATATGGCCAACATTTTTAATCATTTTTTTTGTTATCACGTGAATCTGATTTAACTTTTCCCACAAAATATAAATCAGAATTGCTAGCTGCCATAAATTTGGTATTTGGGAGATTTAAAACCATTATCATGGGAGGGGGAGAATGGGGGTGCCCAGGGTATAGGCCACTTTGTTAGGGACACACTGCTTCCTCAGGTGAGCCCATCAAAGGGAGGTTTGGGGCTGAAAGTCTGACTGTGGTCTCTGTCCTTCAGTGCCTGCAGGAAACTGCCAGTTTCGTGGCAAACATTTCAAAACCAAGTTCGAGGTGGAAGGGGAGCCAGTGGTCCTGCCGTGCCCCCAGATGCGGTATTGGTTGAGGGCCTCTGCTAGCCCCCATGTCAGCGTGACATGGCGGAAAAATGATTCTGCTAGGATGATCCCAGCGGGAGAAGACACAGGACTATGGGTCCAGGATGGTGCTCTCTGGATTGTGCCAGCCTGGCGGGAGGACTCCGGCACCTACATTTGTACTGTCAGGTAAGCCCCCTGGGGCAAGGGTGGGGTACAGGGCTCCTTGAAGAATGGACTCTCACACGGTTCTTCAGTGAGGACCTGGATTTCAAAATCCATTGTACAGGTGAGAATCCGTGTTCTGTCCTCTTCACTGCTCCAGCCATGCCTTCCACCAAGAGCCTTACCTCAGGTGTCCTCATGGTTCCCTCTCCCCCTTCATTTATTGTGTTGTTGGAAAAATCATGACACATTTTTGCAATGAAAAACAGAAAAAATACGTCATGACTTTTCTGACAACCCAATAAATCTTTGCTCAAATGTCACCTCTTTACCCACTTTATCTAAAACAGCACTCCTGTCACTCTCTCTGGCTGTTATTTTTCTTCATCTGACACACATATATGTGGTCTGTGTAGTTAATGTGCATCTACCCCATTAGAATGTCAACTTCAGGACAGGAACTTGGCTTTTTTTTCACTGCTGAATCCACGTGGACACAAGCAATAGATATAGAACACTGAATGAATCTGACATGTGGATAAGACTTTAGGAATAAGTTCATCCAACTGCCTTATTGTACATGTGAGGGAGCCAAGCTCACTTATAAAGTTCTCGCAGGCAGTAGGTGTGGAGCTGATATGGGAACCCACAGCTCCTGACATGGGGTCTAGTCCCCCTCTCTCTTTGTCCTGCTGCTTTTTTGCTTTTTTAAAAAATTGTGGTAATATGCTCGTATACATAACATACAATTTACCACCTCAGTCCTTTAAAGTGTACAATTCAAACGTGATAAGTATATTCACAATGTTGTGTTACTATCACTGCCATCAGTTCCAGAACTTTTTCATCTTCCCAAAGTGAAACTCTGTGCTTATCAAACACTAACTCCTCATCCCCCCCCCCATCCCCAACCCCGGCAACCGCCATTGTACTTCCTGTCTCTATGAATTTTACTACTTTAAGCAACTCATATGAGTAGAATCATACAGTACTTGTCCATTTGTGACTGCCTATTTCACTTACCATAATGTCCTCAAGGTTCATTCATGTTGTAGTATATGTTGGAATTTTCTTCTTCTTTAAGGCTCAATAATATTTCATTGTATATATAGACCACATTTTGGTCATCCATTTATCTATCAATGGACACTTAGGTTTCTTCTGGTTTTTTTGGCTGTTGTGAATAATGCTGCTATGAACATAGGTCTTCAAAAATTTGTTCAACCCCTTGCTTTCAACACTTTTAGGTATACAAAAAGTGGAATTGGTGGACCATATGATAATTCTGTTAATTTTTTGAAGAACTGTGATATTGTTTTCCATAGCAGCTACACCACTTTACATTCCCATCAGCCATGTACAAGTTTTCAAATTCTTCACATTCTCACCAACACTTATTATTTTCTGGGTTTTTTTTTGAGGGGGTTTAATAGCCATCCTAATGGGGGTATATCATTGTGGTTTTGATTTGCATTTTCCTAAAGACGTGTTATATTGAGCATCTTTCCATGTGCTTTATTGGCCATTTGTGTATCTTATTTGGAGAAATTTCTATTTCTGTCCTTTGCCCATTTTTCATTGAGTTGTTTGTGTGTTTTTGAGTTATGGGAATTATACTAAATATAAATCTCTTTCCAGATATGTGACTTGCAAATATTTTCTACCATTCCATGGGTGGCCTTTTTACTCTGTTAATAATGTTCTTTAATGCACAAAAATCTTAAATTTTGATGGTCAGATTTATCTATTTTTTCTTTGGTTGCCTGTGCTTTTGATGTAATATCCAAGAAGTCATTGTCACATCTAATGTCATAAAGCTTTACCCTTGTGTTTTCATCTAAGAATTTTTATAGTTTTAGTGCTTATATGTAGGTTTTTGATCCATTCTGAGTTAAATTTTGTATATGGTGTAAGGTAATGGCCCAACTTCATTGTTTTGCATATGGCTATCCAGTTTTTCTAAAAGTTTTGTTGGAAAGACTGTCCTCTCCCTAATGAATGGTCTTGATATATCTTGCTGCTTCTTACAGGAGAAAGTTGTAGGTCTAGTGTTGGAGATCTTAAAAACTTCCTGGCTTAGTTCTTCTGAAAGGATTAGAGATGACTGTTGGCCTGACTTTGCAATAGTCCTGCCCTTCTCTCTTCAGCTGCTGCTTCTAACCTTCCCCAAATTCTACTCACCCCTTTTACCAGGCAGCTTTAGAGTCTCTCCAGATTTCATAAACTTGTTTGATTTAAGGAGAAGCTATACCCACAAATATTTATTTACATTTTGTGTGTGTATGTCTGTGTGCTACCCTGTAATGAACCCTGCCTGAGAAGCAGGCATGTAATCACTTATCTCCATATCAGGGAAATGTGGATGTCTGATTTTACAATAGCTATACATGCATAGTTTTTCTTCCCTGTCTAGTACAAAAAATTGTATTGCTTTCCAAGGAGCACTACTAAAAAAAATAAATAGTGTAGAAAAAGAATAGAATTTGGAGTCAGGATGACATGGATGCAAATCTGAACCTTCTCATTTTCTATTGAATGGGACCTTGGTCTTATCACTTGACAATTCTTGGCCTCAGTTTTCTTCTCTGTAAGGAGGTTTGTTGGGAGCATTCTGTGAAATCACAGCATGAGAAGCATCTAGTGTGCATTGGGGAGCACTAGAGCAGGTGGTCAATCTATGCACAGAAATGCCCTTTCTTTCCCAAACGCAATACTTCTTGACTACTGAAGTGATAATATGCAAGAATAGGGGAGTGGTGAACTGAGTCATGTTTGTCTTAAAGTTTGTTTTTATACTCGAATAAAAACATGGTACCCAGTACCCTTATTTTGTTTTCTATTTTTATAGAACAAAAGAGGTGTGGAGTTGAGAGGGAGTAGAAATCCGATTGTGGGTCAAGCTTTCAGAGCACGTGGGAGAGTTTACCTGGCTCATCTCTAAAACTCTCCTCCACTCTAAGACTGGGGTTCCAATAGAGTGAGAATCACCAGCACTTGCCACAATATCCTTTGGCATTTACAGTCGCAGGGCATAAAACTGCTCTGTCCCTGTGATTTTTATAATCTCATGATCTAGAACCTACATGGCCTGTCTGTCAATCCGGGTGAGGAAGGTTATACTGCTGAATCAAACAGCCCCCAAATCTCAGTGGCTCCGAACAATGGAGGCTTATTTATCACATATGCAACAAGCCCAGGGTGGGTGCAGACACTCAGGGACCCAGGCTGAAGGGGCAGTCGTTATCTCAAATGTTGGTCACTGTACCAAAAGAAAATATGCTGTGGAGGGTCTCTCCTGGCTTTTAAAACTTTGGTGTGGAGGTGACACATATACAACTCATTGACTAGAGTCATATAACTGCACCCACCCACAGGACGTGGAACACCACCATACGCTCATAATGAGGAGAACTGGATCTATTTGGTGAACAACACTAGTGACTACCACTTTTTGCTGTGGGGATACCACACTGCATCGCGAATACAAGTGGTGATCCAATTACTCCCCAACCCCGCTTTCGTTCGGGTTTCATTTTTACAAAGTAGCTTGCTAGCGGGGAATACCAGATCAATAATGTGAATGGGTTTGTAACTCTTGATATGTCTAGTAAGCTTGGTTTTTGGAGATACTGCCTTAATTTAAGTGTTTTCCCAGAGTCCTATTGGTTTGACCTCTTACTAGCTATACAGCTTTAGGAAATTACTTAATTTCTGTATAGCTAATTTGCCTCATCTAAAAATGATATAACAATAACTCCTAACTCACAGTGTTGGAGAAAAATGAAATTACATAAACAGAGCACCCAGCACCGGCCTGGCAGGCACCTCCTCACTCCAAGGAGCTGCTGGGCTGACTCCCTCCAGGTGTGTGCTGTTCTTCAGATAGGTCCTCATTTGCAGTGAGAATATGCATTTTTCAAGGTAACAGTTAACTTTGTGCATTTCTTGGTGTCTAAAACATTTGTTCATCTCCTTTTTTTTTTCTCTTTCAACCAGATATAAAATATAATATAGATATTGACATATGTTTGAATTAATTATTTTTACGTTCAGGTAGTTTAGCGTTTATCACTTATTTCTTTCATATATATTTTTCCCATTTTGTTCCTTCTTTGGATATAGATTGTTTTGCATTTTGCCATGAAAGTTCTTGTCCTCCCATCTCCCTGTATAACACACATTCTCATTGTCTTTGTTGGTGTCTTGTGTTTCTTAGGTAGCTAGGGACTTAGTGAGGTACTTATATTTTTATGTTTTCTACTTAAAAAAAATAGTTTTAATGAATAGCCTCTGTTCTTCCCTTCATTTTTTCCATGTTGCTATAAATGTTTTGCCTCTGCCCTTTCTCCAGTTTTAGGGTCTTGATAGACTTGTGATATTGAGATTATAGTTAGCCCAACCAAAAAATAAAATAAAATAAGATTCAAAACCAAACAAATGTACCTCATGTAGTATACAAAAATATTATATAGATTTTTTTTATACTAAGTTCTCAGCACTTTTCTGAACTTAGACTTCAGTTGATAAATGATTCCCCAGAGAAGTCAAGGGAATTATCTTTATATGGAGACAGTAGCTCTTAGAAAACAATTCCTTCATTTGGATATAATTCCCTGGACCAGAAAGTTGGACCATTTGCTCAAGGAGCCCCAGAGCCTGGAAGGGTTTAGGCCCACCCCTTCGATGAGGACTTGGGGATTTCCTAATGGCTCTTGATGGGGTTGAAGTTAGACTTGTGAAGGGTCCTTTGGGAAAAATGAGGACTACATCACACTTTCTTTATAACAATTATGATAGCATGCTTTTTTATCCTCCAAAGAATCAAAAGGATCGGGGATCGAAGTATTGCAATACTAATCAAGAAAATGTAAAAAGCATAATTTAAAGAGATTGGGGAAACTGTTCTTAATTTATTTAATTTTACTTTTATTTTGCCTTGCTATTTATTATCATTTTTTTTCCTTTGAAATCAGAAACGCCTCTTACTGTGACGAAATGTCCATTGAGCTCAAGGTTTTTGAGAAGACAGAAGCGTCCCTGCCCCTCATCTCATATCCGCAAATCCTTACCTTGTCAACCTCTGGGGCGTTAGTTTGCCCTGAACTGAGTGAATTCACCCGTAACAAAACTGACATGAAGATTCAATGGTACAAGGTACATCTTTCAAAATTGCCATTTAATTAAAATGTGTCTTACTAGCCATAGAAAAGATATAAAAGACCTATTCTGAAGTTAACACATTCACTTTTATTTAAACCAGTTATTTAAAAAAAGGGCCAGGATTAACATGTTCTATTAACCCTTATGTGGTTTGGGTCCGAGTCCTAAGAATAGTGATTTGAGACAGAATAGGCAATGAATCCAGTAAGTAACAACTGAAGAGAGTAACTTTTAGCTCTGTCATTTATCTACTGAGAAAAAAAATTGTTAACAACTTTATACACATATAACAGAGTTTTTCAAAAGCACTTGATAACTAACTTTTGGGTTAAAGCAGTAAATAGAAACACAGTTTGTTCTCTTGCCAGATTCAATAAATACTGTCATCAGATATGTGTGTAGACTGGGTATGCGCAAACCGCAGTCCAGGGCCCTGTTAAGCCACCGCCTTTTTTTTTTTTTTGGACAGCTTGCAAATTAAACATAGTTTTCACTTTTTTAAATGGTTAAAAACAATTTTTTTAAAGAATAATGTTTTATGACATAAATTGATATAAAACTTAAATTTCAGTGTTCATAAATAAAGTGTTACTGGGACATGGCCGCGCTCATTTGTTTTCCTGCTTTCACATCACAATGGACAGAGGACATGTGGGCTTGTAGGCCTAAAATATTTACCACTGATCCTTTATAGAAAAAGTTAGCTGATATAGACCATAGATTCATACTGGAAAGTACAGTTATTTGTTTAATCATTAATAGAAATTAACCCTTTAATCAAGAATTATGTCCACTTAAAAAATTTATATGGAAATAAACAGATAAGTATATAACACTGTACGAACATTTCTTGCAGCATTGTTGATAACAAGATACTGGAAACAAGAAAATATTCTCCTTGATGAATTGGATAAACTAATTTCCTCTCATAGGAACAGTGGCATATCACATAACTGTTTACAAAGATGAGATAATTTTATGTGTATTAACAAGGAAAGAAAAATACAATATTGTTATAGTTTTTAAAAGGCTTTAAATGGTATATATTGCATTTCCCATTTATTAAAAAATATGGGTACATGTATTTAAAAATCTGAAGGAATATATTGAAATGCTAAAACATATTTTGGGCACAAAGAAGGACTCACTTTCTACTTTTTTTTTTTTTTACATTGTACTACTTTGCTATCAGCAAAAGCATTAAAGGTATTTTCATTGTGTAAAAGAAAAAAAAGTGAGGAACTTCCTTTCACTTAAGAAATATATGTTATTCCTTAATCTATATGCGCTGAATTTTTCAATATACTCTCAATCAACATTACCTATAATTTTGTCAGAATTATTAAAACATACATTTTCAGATAAAAAAGGAATAGGTTAACCAATTAACTAGAATTATAACTTCAAGATACATATAGACTATTAATTTAATATTGGAAACTTTTAAATGATTTTCTGAAAGTAGAGGAACGTAGCCAGTCCTCATGAATCAGCCAGTCCACTTATGGAACGAATTCACTCTCGGTTTAGGAAGAGTATAAAGGGGACACGTGAGAGGACACAGCACAGGCTCAGGAGTGGCCGGTGTTGGTCCAAAACCCTGTCCCTTCATTTCCCTGCTGTGTGGCCTTGGCCAAATTATTTCACCTCTCGAACCTGCTTCCTCTGCAGAATGGTAGTCAGTCACTCATGCTGGCTGGGATGGTTTGGAACATTAAATGGAGGACTGTGTATGAAGTGCCTACTGCAGGGCTTGACATATGAATGGAGCTCAATAAATTTGGGATAAGGATATCATGGTGGTGCTTAATAAGAGTTGTTCCCTTCCTAAGAACGCTAATCATTACTGAGCACACACTATGTACAAATCTGTTCTAAACGGACTGACATGTAACCTAAGGAAGAAAGGGCTGTCAGTAGCTGTATTTTACAGATTATACCCACGTAAAGAACTCGCCCAAGGTCACACAGCTGCTAGATGGTGAAGCCAGAACCCTACCCCTGGAGGCCCCACACACCACTGCCACGCAGGGCAGCCCTTGTGGCCCACGGGCCCTGGAAGGACGGTGTGGTGCTGGGCCCTATTTGGCTTTTTTCATATTTGACCACTCATGTTAGGAGCAATACAATCTCTCCTTGTAATTAAGTATATTGTAAAGTCGTACTTTATGAACCATGTGGCAAACAAACTCTTCTATTATGTCTGTGTTCCCATTTAGAATAAGAATCTGGAATGACTCAAGGTTATATTTGACTACTGAAAGCTTTCAATCATCATGGTTTTGAAAGAGATGTTCCTGAGAACATTTTGTGCTCATTAGAATGTTTCCTTAAATCTTATTCAGCTTCTTCTGTTATGGGAGGCCTTGCCCTTGAGGGTTCTACTCTGCAGAACCCGCAGTGTCTTTTGTCCACATGATAAGTGTGGCCTTGTTTCTGACATGTAGTTTTCTCTTACAAAATTTTCTCCATCTCTACTGACTCCTAAAATTGAAATGATTTCTAAGGTAATTACAGCAACATTGTCTCTTGTGAACATTGTTTTCAAGTCACCATGACTACATAACAGCACTCTTCCCTGGGGGGGTTTCGTAAATAAAGTGTATGGCAGCTGTTAGGCCATAACTATATCTGTATTTTAAATGGCCTACTTTGTCAAAGAAGAGAAAGTTTCTTTTTTCTCCCATTGTGCTTAAGCAAATGTGCTTCCAACACTGTGGTTAAACAAATTGAGCAACTTTGTTTTATATGCTAACTAATTCCCTCTCCTAAAAAAGAGAGTGAAAAGTATGTCCAAAGTACAACATTAGCAAAGTAAGTAACAGGGCAATTCTTGGGTTGCAAATTCAACATTGATTGATAATACTGATGCTATTTATAGCTTTTGAGATATAAATTAGTACATAATGTAATTCTGAAAAACATTTTCCTTTAAGGATTCTGTCCTTTTGGATCAGGACAACAAGAAGTTTCAAAGTGTGAAGGGAACCACTCTCTTACTCATACATAATGTGTCTATGGAGGATGTGGACTATTACAGCTGTGTTATGATGTTTGCCCACAAAAGCATGCGATACAACATCACTAGGACTATCAAACTACGTATCAACAGTAAGTGCTTGCCATGAAGGTATCCCTCCACTCTGCTTCAATAACAAGCGTGCACGAGACACATTAGGGTTCACACAGAATTCCTTGAATGTCTTTGGTAGGAAAGGAAAACGGATATGACAACTCTCTTAAAATATCAGGCTAATCAGACTTGTGTATACCACCTTGAAAGGTAGAAAGCGGGGTGTTATTTTAAGGAAAGGTGAACCTCTGGGTGGTTGATAGAGTGCCAAGTCTGAGGCTAAAACACACCACTAGAGGGAGCCAAACAATGATCCACTTGGAAGGCTCGCCCCTCCAGGGCGAGCCATCCCAACATGGTTGCCATAACTTTCATGTATAATTCTAGGATACTAGGATTTTATTGAATTCTTCAGTTAGAAGGCTGTGCATTGGCATATCCAGTGGAAATTGCCATTTTTCTTGTCTTTCCCAGGGCATGTCTAGTTGCCCTTGAAACCAGGATTTCAAGTAGTGAGTGCTCTTATTACTTTAAATGATTTCTATTTGAAAATAATGTTGTGAACAGTATTGGTTAGTATTTAATATTTGTTCAACATTTACTCCATACCACCTACATGCTGGACATCAAACTTGGTGCAAGTGTTATAAAAGTGTCCATTTTGCCTTAGAGAGTAGATTTCTTTTCTTTATTTCACACACTGAATAATTACACAGTTGGAGTCTTTTAAGGGCATTTCAGAGAGCTTTGGAAATATATTAAGGTTAAATAATTGGTCTCTGAGGAGGAAAAGATTAACATTTTTCTCACAGAGAATCCAGAGATTCAGTTTTACTACAGGAAAAATGTGTCTCCGATGAACTGAAATCTCTAGATTATATTTCTTTTATTGTTTGTGACGATTCATTCACCTCAACTCCTTGTTCCCCCACTGGGGAACACTGTGACCTCCTGTTCCTTTGAAGGGCGTTATTATCCTGTTCATGTGATACTGCACAGGAACACTAGGGGGAAGCCAACCTACATTTTATCCTGTGTTGTGATCACACATTATCTCAGCAGTTCTCCGAGAGTGGTTCTGGGCCAGCAGCAGCTGCACCTGGGTACTGGTTAGACAGGCCCCATCCCAGACCTACTGCGTTAGAAACAGGGGCCAGGGGAGGGGAGCAATCTGTGTTTGACAAGCTCCCCAGGTGATGCTGATGAATTCTCAAATTAGAAACCCATTGGTGTATCAAGTCCTTGAGGCTCCTGTCTCCTCTCTTTGCTGCCCCAGCCTCTGAATGGCAACAATGTGAGGGAAAGGCTCTCGGTCACAGCTGAGAAGCCACCTGCCTTTTGGGCTCTACTGTGATGTTACCTAAAGCTTCTCGTGTTAGGGTTTCAAATGCTCTTAGTGGAAGAAGTGAGGGTGGAGCCAGCAGGTATGGAGACAGGCAGTCCTTCGCCCACCCCGAAGCTGTCTTTTTTGCTGCAATTCAGGTGCTCAGTTTCTTCAAGTTGCTGGGAGATCTGCCTTTTGGGGAGCTGAGTTCAAAATCCTGGGACACCCACTGCTATCTCCCTAAAGACTTACCACTTCAGTTAACAGGACAGTGGCCAACCAGGGCCACTCTCTCACTCCTTGTAGGGTTAGCATTACAAATAGGTGGGTCCCAAGCCGCTGGCCCTCTTTTGTTTTGTTTTGTTTTATTTTTTGAGGTGACTTCGGTATTCTGTGGCAGGTACTTGGCAAGGTGAAGATGGAGTGGAGGCAGGTGTTTTAGGGCAACCCTGTCCTGGGAACATTGGGAACGTTATTGTTAAGAATTCACTCAGGAAGCCAGGGAGAGGAATGGTTAATTGCTTATCACAGAGCAAAGAACATCTGTGAACAGTGTGTGTGTTTAACTGGGGCTTCTTCCAGTAATCTTTCTTCTGGGAAAGGCGTTGGGCAAGGATGCTCGACTTTGTGAAAAGCCTATTTCCTTTGCCAGACAAAGGTCGACTCCCACAATGGCTGGCCATACTATCAAGGATAGCTGAGTTAATTAACCAAACAATGGACCTTGAACCTCCGCTTGAAATGAAGGCTTCCCTAATTGAATCTTTTTTCCATATATCTTTCTCAGAAAGAGAAGAGGAGACAGTTCCTGTGATTATCTCCCCCCACAAGACCATATTAGCTTCTTTGGGTAAGGCCTGCAAGGACTGGAACCCACATGGGTGTCTGTAACCCCGGGGCCCTGGGACTCCTGTGCCTGTGACTGCACCTGCTCCTTTGTGCACAGTGTGCCTGAGTGGAGACCCTAGAACCCCAGTGTGAGAGGCTGAAATGACAAATGTGAGGGAACATTTCCCTGTGTCAAATGTTGTTAGAAATGGCACTGTCTGAAGTAGTATACTTTGCTTTATGAAATGCTTATGTACAAAAATCTCAATATAAAAATCTGAACATTTTGGTAGCTGTTATTAACTGTGGGAAAGGCTTAATGGCATGATTCCCTCACAGAACCAGCGCTTGTAGTATATTTAAAATTATTCACTCTACCAAAACTTGGCTGACCTCAGCATTTCCCTAAGACTCCATTTGTAAAGTGAGGCCAACTGTTGGCCTTTCAGAAACTGTTCTTGTTGCCAGCATTGCTGGGTCAGCCAGTGGGGAGGTCTTATTTCCCCATTTTCCAGAAAGAAAAGCTGCCCAGGGACTCCAGATGGATTGAGGAAGGTCAAAAATCTACACTCGGGTCAGGCTGGGGTTCAGCTGCAGGCCTGTTTGTCTGTGAAGCCTCTACCCTTTTTGTGTGTTTGTTTTTGTAGAACGGTTTTGTGGGTCTTATGCTGGCTGCAGAGTCCTATTCTCTCTCTCTCTCTCTCTCTCTCTCTCTCTCTCTCTCTCTCTCTCTCTTATGTTTGGTGTTGGACTTACATTTAAATTTTTTTTTAAAAGACTTCACTGGGGACGGAGAACAGTGTTGGGGAATTGGGGAAGAGGAACAGCCAAGTTGTTGTCCTTTAATCTCAGCCATGGAGGGCGCAGCGAGCTCAGCTCCAAGTCCAGCTGCCATCCGGCCACCCGTTGGCAGCTTGTGGCTGCTCAGCTCAAGGTGCCACGTTCAATCTTAGTTGCAGGTGGGCATAGCCCACCATCCCATGCAGGAGTTGAACTGGCAACCTTGTTGTTAGGAGCACGTGCTCTCACCAGCTGAGCAATCCTGCCACCTGTTGGCAGCTCAGGGCAGCTCAACTTGGTTTCAGCTCACTGGCCCATGTGGGAATCAAACTGGTTTCCCTGTTGCTCAGAGCTCGCGCCCGTAACCAACTGAGCCACTCGGCCGGCCCCCTATTTTAAATTTTAATTGGAGGCCATAGTGAACTCCTCGGTGTTCCCAGCCGAGTGAAGCTGAGTCTCCCACTCTGTTTCTGTGAAGACACTGATGTGTGTGGAAGAGTCACACGAGGAGGGATTTAATGGGCTGCTTTTGGCTGAGAAATCTTTCAGGTCGTCAGGGGTGGTGAAGGAGGGAGAAGAGCTGGCATTCTGAGCCTGCGGTGGGGCCAGGTGCATTGAAAGACGCACCGCAGGGAGGCATAGCACCCGTGAGGAAGAAATGAATGGGAAAGATTTGTTCATTTTTCTCCCCTTCCCCCCTATGGTGACTTAAAAAATATAACTTACAGTGATTGAGGCAGAGGCACTGAGTATGCCACATTGCAGTATGTCACAACTGCAGAAGGCACCATTCATATAAAACACAGTGGCTTTTTAGAGGGTTAATCCTACATGAACATGATCTGGGCATGGAGAGTCCCCAGGGGCAACAGACAGCTGAGACCAGCAATGGGCAAAGAGAAAGAATACACATGTTAATTGGATTTGGGGGGGCAAGTAGAATTAATTGTGGAAGAAGGCAGCTGTTGAATTTAGAATGCCCTGTAGGATCCAAGTGGCCTTGGGGAAGTCATTTGCCTCTGGGTTTCCATCCACCATGAAGACCAGTTGAAGGAACTGGAGATACTTGATAAATACTGATTCTTTATGTACACAGAATTGTTGGAGGGAACCAAATTTCCTTCTAAGAAAAGAATGAGTCAGTGAGGGGTGTTTGAGGCTGTGGGGAAGGGTCTACTGCTCAAATGTGCTGGTGGACAAGCAGCGGGGGTGACCCCTATGTCCAGCTGGGTTCTGACGTTCAGTACTCTGTGTCTTGCTATATACAGGGTCGAGACTGACTATCCCGTGTAAGGTGTTTCTGGGAGCTGGCACACACTTGACCACCCTGCTGTGGTGGATGGCCAACAATACCAACATAGAGAGCATCTACAATCAAGACCGCGTGACGGAGGGGCAGCGCCTGTAAGTGGGCGAAGATGTGTGTCAGCTTAGAAGAGTCTTCCAGGCAGAGCTGTTTTGAGACCTTTGTAGGCTTTACTGCTTTTTTTGTAGAGACAATGTCATATCCAACCTATCGATATGAAACACATGCCACATTCAAAATAGTTTTTCTGTTCTAAACTGTTGGATTTTTAGAATTTTAAAAATTGAGTTTTGCTAAGAATTAGCAATTGTTCTTGAGAACCAAGCTTTCTATATAAGATTTGAGTTGTAGTCAACAACTTGACATTGAGGTTGCATTTTCTAGCTGTTTAATCAAACATTTATTTCTTGATTTTTTTTTACAGTTTTTAAAAAACACTTTGGAGTTAGTATATTTCCATTCTGTGTCAAACATTTTCACAAACCCTTAAAATAAACTTAGCCACAGTATCTGACAGCCCCTTCTGTTTCTCAGGGAACCCTGGGCTGCCACAGTCTCTAAGGAAGGTTAATATTAAAAGTATGAAAGAATTCTGTTCTCATAAGCATTCATGTCTGGAAAACATTTTCTCACTGTGAATGTAGAACAATCAGGCCTTGTAAATGGGAACCATTTGCTTATGAGTAAGGGAGACTACTCAATGTTCCAGATTATAAAGTGCAGATTTTTAAATTACAGTTTCAATTCTCTGAATTAGACTGAACTTTGGCTTGCCAAATTTTTGTCTTGTTTTGGAAGACCTATCAAAAAGAGTCTTTCTGGATGCAACCGAGTGAAAATTACGTGTGGTTAGCACTATTGTTCACTTGCAAGTCCTCGTTGTGAAACTAACATGCCCCATATCAGCTTACTCATACTGTCCATTTACTTAAAGGAGCCCATTTCCTCCCCATAGATTAAAAAAAAGAATTAGTCCTAGTGGATCCACATCAATCACATTTTTATTCATACTAATACATAGTAGTGAGGCATCTTCAGGTTCCTATAACATTATAAATGACAGTTCTGTTGACTAGAGTCATTCTCCCTGGCCTGTCTGCCCTCCACTCTGAACTTGAGTTCCCAGAGTGAGAGTTGGCCATGGATATGAGAGGAGGGGACTCCGTTGAATACTGGATTCTGGAAACTCCCTACTCTTCAGTATGCAAATGATTCATTGGTGATACAATTAAGTTTCCCCAAAACTAGACACTTCTATTCCCACTACTGATTCTTTGTTCGTCAAAGGCCTTAAGAAATGAAATTTTCCATTGTCTAAAATAAACTGGCTCTTGTGAGTTCCTTGTAACAAGTGTCCTATTACAGTGACTAACAGGTTTAGAAATTCTCCCAAATAAATAACAAATATAATGGCATGTGTTCCCAGCTTTCTGAACCTAGAAATCCATGTAAGCACAGTGGGGCCTTCTTTTTTTTATTTTATTTTTTTTTATTGTTAGTTTCAGGTGTACAGAACAATACAATAGTTACCCTTTTTCACCCTCACCAGGTAACAACCCCCCTTCCCCCATCTATTGCCCTCCCACCCCCGATATCATGCTTATCTATTACAATTCCATTGAATCCGTTCCCGCTCTCTACTCCATGTC